AAAGAGACTCGTTTGTTTTTCTGTACCAAAATTTTTTACTTCTAGTTAACTTCCTTACTATTTTTGAGTTACGATTTCGAAAGCGACCACGCTTTTCCGATTTGAATGAAATTTATTTGTTAATTCATTTTCAAATGAATTAAAATCAATGTTTTAAGCACCAGAAATTTTCTGCAATTTCGAGAATCTCTCTTAGTTAATAGCTACATTTTTTATAGAATCAAATTCAGGGCCCTTTGCATTGCAAATTTTGTTTGATCGTGTATCCGTGGTTTGCCTGTTATATTTTTCTTGAATTAAAACCAGAATTCCATCAGTAAATATTTAGTTTAATATTGTTATGAGTTAATTAACCATATTTTCTCAAAAAATTCATGGTACAAAATTTACTGAAATATCATACATTGAAACCATTTGCTCGGCCAGTGCTCGGCTAGGATACCGCAGCGGAGGTCCTATAGAGCGTCAGGACCCCCGTGACGTCACGTCGCGCTGATGCATCGCCTCATCGCTAATCGACGCACAAGCGCATTTGTTAGGCTCGGCCAGCCTTCACGATGTGAAGAGTTTCGGTGCGTGGACGGTGGCGCAACTTTTTGATGTCACTCACCTAAGATCACGCGGGGGTGGTGGTGGTATTGAGGGATGCACTACTAGAGCCAGCGAATGTCTTTTATCCTTCCTTTGGCGGTTGCTTTGGGTTTAATAGCCGCCTACTGATACATTTACAGCCGTCGAGTGATATATTTACCGCCATCTAATGATGCATTTACCTCCATCTACTGATGCATTTACCGCCATCTACGAATGCAGGTAACACCGTTGATGGATAATTTATCGCCACCTACTGATACATTTACCGACGTCTACCGATTACTACTGTTTACTTGCATTTACCGTCATTTACTGATACGTTAACCGTCGTCGATACACTTTGTATCTTAAGACCCAGTAAATTGAGTTATACCGTTTGACTCGGAGAAAGTAACGAGAGCGTTAAGAATAATAAATCAATTTCAATGCTTTGACATATATTCATCCTATTGATATATATCAATAATCATCCAGATCGGTCACCAGCCGATGTCATTTAGAACTGTGGATTGTTTTTTGTTGAAATCTTTGTTGTGTATTTAACGAATGAAATCATTTATCAGCAGATCTAAATGTCAGTTGGCTTTATATTTTCGAAGTTCCTTTCTTCTCATACATTCCTTTTGTCGGCTTATTTGTCAATTGTTAACAAACTTACAATAAGCTGTGTGGTTTCCTTTCAGTTTAATTATACTCAGGATTTGTAAACGTAGTAAGTGTTTATTGGCCAATTCCTTCAGTTTAATTAATTACGGCAGAAGTAAAAAATTGCGTGATGCGGGGACAGACAAACAACAGACATGTTTTAATTTATTCTTTTTTCCCTGCAGAAAGTCCTTTTGAATATTCATTGGAAGAAATTCTCATTTAATAAGAAATCCTCGCTTTAATCCATGCGCCTTCAATGACGAACTTATTTTGTTCATCTGAGTTGTAAAATCAATCAATTCGAAATATATTTGCACGCGTGCATTATCATTTCAAGGTAAATTTGTACCCAACCTAATATTGAACTCAAATTTACACCCGAACCATTTGTAAACAGCCTCAAAAAAGAAAGAATAATTTCTATTTGTTTGGCAAGCTTCAAGCATGTCGCTCCATGCAGGTGTCCATCTTTTTCGAACATTAAGAATATTTTCCTCGAGCCACGCATTCTTTCATTTCACGAGGTTGAGATCTTTTCTTATACAACAGTTTGGTTTCAAATGCATCACCAGCATCTAATGTTATCCATTTTTATGTAGCAACGCGCGCTTGGATCAGCCCTACATGCACAAGCGTTCATTGTTCGTGCATAAATTATTACGTGGAACATCTACAAAAATTCTTTCAACTGGCACGGTTCGTAATTTCTGGTCATGATCTCCACACGAAGAGACTCTTCTATCATAGCAACGGATAAGTAATCATGGCCATGAAACTCTGATGAGATCTTTTTAATTCATCCCTGTCAAGGCATGAGTTTCGCGACCACCCAAGAGCGCTGGGTCTGATTATTGAGTGAGTAAGTGAGTGAACGACTGTGCTGAGCGATGGACCGAGTGCTTTTTGCAGTGCTCGTCTAGAATATTACAGGAAAAAGTCATCCGCTTTCCTGATATTTTATTGCATGAGACACAGACATTGTTTTAATTGTTTCAGTCACAAACAAATGAGTACAAGTCCTATCCATCAAATCTGCATTGGATTTCCTGGTCGGATATTGTTTAATGTCGGGCATTTAACTTTAAAATGAGAACTAGAACATTATTCGATGAAATCACATTCAAAATGAATGAATCCAAATAATTACTCGAAAATTTTATTCTTTTTATGGTTTGACACTATGTTTAGCGCGCACCAATTTTTATATTTTTCTTTACGTCCTATAAAAATATTTTTCAAGACAATTGAAATGGTTTTGTTAAGTCAGGGCAGAAACTCCAATAAAATAACTGGATCTCTCCTTGTTTAGAAAGATCATCAGGCCAGTTATTAGGCAGGCATCACGCCTTCAAAAGCCCTTAGATTCCCTTGATTATAAACTCTGTAGGCGGTCCGCTATGATCGACACCACGCCAAACTCCACCTGACCTCGTTACCTTGCCCAATTGGGCACTGTGGATTTTCGCGTTCGGTCAACCAAAGGCCAAGCCAAAATAATGCCTTTGTCCGTACCGCCGCTTGATTAATCCCATGCAGTGCTCCTTCGTGAGTCGCGCTAAAGATAAGTTCTGGGGAATGTAAGGACTACCTTCAATCTGGTCAAATGTATGGTCGTTAATAACTGATTTTTGGGCAAATAATGTGAACTAAATTATAAGTTTAATTTTACGATAATATTCTCGACAAATAAAATTTTTCCTTCTGATTTTTTTGAGCGGGCATCGAAAGGTTTTTCAGTGGAGATAATAAATGTATATACAAAGATCTAAGACAACCATCTTACACTCAACCCTAATACCATTTTGGTGTGTGTTTAGCGGAATAGTTTTTGTTGCGGCACTATTAATGCTCTGAAACGCATTAAGCTCTCTCTAGAGCGCGCAATCACTGAACTAATAGAGCAATGCCAAGTGAGGCGAAAGTCATTCTGTCCCTGTTGCCTTCTCGCTTTGTGGTATTCCATCGCGCGATGTAACTATGAAGAATGGGTGCTATTTGTGAAGACTTGTCGACGATAGCGAACTATTTGAGTCACCCATCGAGCGCGCTTTGTGTACCAAAATAAGGTAATTACAGAGCGCTCGATTCGTTTCCTCAACTCGGGTTTCGATTGAGTAAAAAGGGTTGCGCTTGATTCCAATCGTGTAATGCATGAAGTTGACGAATGCCATGCGAGGAGCAACGGCGTATAAAGTAGTGTTTTGTTCGAACATATTTCGAACGTACGCATTCCTTGTGAAAAAAGTCGAGTAGATTACCAAACACCTCAACATTGATGGATACCTCAATAGTAGATACCGTAATACAATTATTTGCTCTATAATTAATGACAGTACGTTACTTTTAGTTAGTTATTTTTTCTTGCCCTAAGTTCCTTAGATTTAGATGACGAATGTATGACATTTTAGGTATTCTCAAAATTCTTTCTTAAAGCGAGAAGAATTTCAAAATTCCTCCCAGAATTTTCTTGATACATATTAAATTAACATGGAATTTGTGATGAAGCCTACTATCTATTTCGATAGTTATTTATTCGTTTCCAAAGGTGCTACTTGGTAGAGCAGCACATTGCTATGTTATAACTTGTTTTTTTTTACTAATAACTATTATTTACCAATGTTATTTAGTGACTAAATTTGATATAAAATAATTCACGAATTCGACAATCGATTCCGAAAAACTTTTTAGAAAAAGTAATTAATACGACTTCACTACTGAAAACTTTCACCTACTTCATTTGCATGAAAATAACTCAGCGAGGCTTGACACACAACACCACCTGACTATATGTTACCCAACATCAGTACAAATTAATAACCCCTCATCTAATCAAGGCTAATCAGAAATCTTGTTAATATACCATCAAGAGTTATTGGAAATCACTGGTAATGACCTATAATAACGACGTGGTGGTAATCGATCTACTTATTTTTTGGGCAACTTTTATTCCCTTGGGGTTTTTTTATCCCACGTGTTGGATAATTTGACGACCTGAGTGCACTCGATCTGGCCGGCAAAACATCGCCTCTGTGCTGATGTTAAATTAAGAAATATAGGAGAGCAAGTACAAACCTCACATGAAGAGAAAAATTTTGTATTTTAATCACTATTACTTTACTGCCCGGTAGGCTCGTACAAGGACAAATCGTAAACTGATGATGACGATGATGATGTTATTTTTATCATCATACGTAGAGTATTAAACGTCAAATTTATATGGCATGAAAAGTTTTATCAACGAACTATGTAATCTACAGTAGAAAATTATGTGGTTGATACTTGAAAAACAAATTCAATAAAACTGACTTCCATTATCTTATAAATACTACAACACAGTGGAAATTGACGTACGAATGCTATGATTTTGTTGTGGTATGCAGGATGCAATCCTGTACACTATTCCCTTTTGATCGGTTCAGAGCAGACATGCAGGAACCAATGCTGTAGACTATTCCCATTCGATCGGTTCAAAGCAAGCATGCAGGAACCAATGCTGTAGACTATTCCCCTTCGATCGGTTCAAAGCAGGCATGCAGGAACCAATGCTGTAGACTATTCCCCTTCGATCGGTTCAAAGCAGGCATGCAGGAACCAATGTTGTAGACTATTCCCCTTCGATCGGTTCAGAGCAGGCTTGCAGGATTCAATGCCGTGTTTTTGCTGTGCCCATTAATGCTTCCGGAGCGAAGAAGAAAGGAAACCATCACTTACGGCAGCAAAGGATGTATAAGAGGTGCTCTGATCACTCAAGCGCAGACATGCTCAGGTGAGCTTGAACATGCAACCGATACTTGCTTGTTGGAGATCCAGCGTCATGTTTGACTGGAGCTTCCCGTACTTTAGCGATCAGGACAAAGCTTATGCTGGACGTGAACGTGGGAGGCACATTTATCGATTGACACATATGTCGACGATGTATTTGTAAACTTAATTTTCATGAGGGAGATCCAGCGTCATGTTTGACTGGAGCTTCCCGTACTTTAGCGATCAGGACAGAGCTTATGCTGGACGTGAACGTGGGAGGCACATTTATCGATTGCAACATATGTCGACGATGTATTTGTAAACTTAATTTTCATGAGGGTTTTTTTGGGTTAAATAACACGGAATTGCATTGAAAAAAAAGATATTTGAATACCATATACATGTATTTTACATATCATAAACCACGTTTTGTCCGTTTTCACTGCTCAGTCGGGAGCGCCAGTGCTGATTCAGAACACAGTTGTTTCGTGCGTGTCGCATTCTCAGCGATTAATCCTTCTTTAATCCTAGCTTTGGTATTGATCAGAAGCAGCGGAGAGCTTTGGTCGGTTGGGCGTTATTGAGACCGCTCCATCTTAGGCTTGTCTTCAGCAATTTCTGTGGCAGCTGATCAGGCGATGGTTTGGAAGTTCCCAAGACAGATGGCCGGGGAAAGGGTTCACTCTTTGATGGATTGAGCCACACCAAAAAATGTATTAATTACTGAGCTGCTGAGGCGAGCGGCCGCGCGTGCTCGCTTTATGTCAGATCCAAGCAAACTGCACGAGAAATGCATCTTCAATTCTATACTTTATACGACAATTGCCTATTATTTAAATAATTTTAGAACGGACAACAAAATGTTGTGCATGTACGTGCATGGTAGGTGTTTCAGACATAGGTGGCCCAGGCAACGCCGAACGCCCTTTTTATAGTTTCATGATAAATTTCGAATTAAGTCGTTTCACTTGCATATAACTAAAGTACTACACGATATTGAGCAAAAAAGTTATCCAAAATATTACAAGCAATTACTTTAATGCTTGCTATTCAGTATCTCATTAAATTGCGACTAAATTTACCCTTTTGGTAATAAATCTTTTTTACTCACTCATTTGCCTCCTCCATGAGTCTGGACCATGACTTGACATCCTGATCATTCGTTAGCACTTCGTAACTTGTGGCCTACTAAATAAGTTTTCAGAATTCAATTTCGTCGCTGAAATCTCATGGCCACCTAACTTGCGTAACTCCATTAGCATCATTGTTTCTCGCTATGCCAGAGCACATCATTTGAGCTCATTGCGACCTATTCAATATATTTCAACAGCACATGGAGGCTTAGTAGGCAGGATTCTCGGCATGGGCACCAGCCAGAAGCTATTAGGTAGCATTACTCATGCGAAAACGTCGTCTCCAACAGGGGCACAAGCTATCGGCCCGGCATCACAGGCAGTCATCCATCGCACGTTACGATCTTGCTGAGCGCGTCATTGCAAAATGCTGAATTAAGTGCAGGGGCATGCGAGAGGCGCACCGCAATAAAGTGGGTGTTGAAACCGGGCACTGCGGGAGGCGCGAGTCCCAACGCAGCGACCGGCGACCCTGCAGGCGTAGGTGGCCTCGGTATGAGACTGTCGCAGCGGCGTCTCACGAGTGATAATGCATGTAGTTCTCCAGACTCTCGCGTCTCATTGCTGAAAAATTTAGAAATCCAGGAAATTGTGGTTATTCAGTCGTTTAAATTATCATTTTTGGTGAAGTTCGGTAAATTAGGGTTGAAATGTGGTTGGTTATTCAGTCGTTTAAATTATCGTTTTTGGTGAAGTTCAGGAAATTATGGTGGAAATGTGGTTGGTTATTCAGTCGTTTAAATTATCGTTTTTGGTGAATTTCAGGAAATTATGGGAGAAATGTGGTTGGTTATTCAGGTGTTAAAATTTATATTATAGTTTAATTAAGATGGCCTCGAAATGTGTTATCTCATTAAGAAACAATTATTTATACATAATTAATTTGAAATTGACTTCGTGATTTAGAACAGCCTCGTACTCTCCGTTAGTGCTATAGTGAAAGTTAGTGAAAGCAAAATTTTCTATTGGAAACAATGCAAAATTGTTCAAAACTTGACGCAGAAAGGTACAAGAATCCTATATAGTTTTTTATTTTGATTTTTATTCATATGTATATAAAGCTCTGAAAATTTTATTATCTGAAAATTTCCCTTCTCCATAAGTCATTCCATCTTCCTGACAAATAAAGAAATACAGAAAATCATGCTGAAATTGTGTTACTCAATCCCTACAATTTTGGTAAAGATGGATGTATTATCTCATTAAAATACAGTAATTTGAACTTAATTGTTATCAAATTTAGTTGATGATTTAGAGCAGCTTAGTACTCTTGATATGTTTATGAAAGCCAAACTTTCGATTTGCAACAGGGCAGAATTGTGCAGAATTTATGCAAAAAATGCGATGATCCTAGGTTTCTATTAGTATTATTCTTCTATGTGCATGTTAATGCCCGACAAATTTATTAGATAAGAATTTTTCTCCACAATATATCATAGAATGGTGAAACAAAAAATCCTGCAGAGCCATTACCTTCTGATTTTTTTTTCATTTCTAGAAACAAAATGATTGTGAATTATTATTATGATTTAATAAAGACTGAAAAAAAGCTAAATGATCCTCAGTCTGAACCTGAAATACGATTCCGATATTCATTGAAGGTCTGCGACCTCAAGCTTAGATATAATATTATTGTCCTTCTAATCAGGTGCTAAACCGTACCCCAGTCGCTTCATAAATTCGCTGCGGGTGGCCGCTGTGCAGTACGTTGTACAGTTCGTACAGCATCGCGGACTTTCTACCGCAGGAAATGGTCGTTGTTTCTTCGGGAAGCGTTTAGCATCCATGCAATTATTTTCAAATTATTGAGAATCGTGGACAGTGTCGCGCTTGCGATTTGAAGAGAGAAACCTCGAACCTGTTCAAACAATAATATTATATATCTTGTGTAAAAAATTGCGTTGTTTTCGTTACTCCATTTGCTTTGTTTAGGAGATTACAACCACAGTTCAATATGTAACTCCATCTTGCTGAGAACGAATAGACTTCTACACAAATTTTAAACGTTCTTGCCAAAATATAGACTTCTACCATAATAAAAAATTAAACCTATAACTTATTATTGATCAGAAAGTGAATTGTGTTTTAATTGTTCAAAGTGGCATAAAATTGAGCCGTCTTCGCTGCGCTTGAGTGGCAACCAATGTATGCACGTTTGGCCAGAACGATGGAGCGACAGCAATGAATTGGCTGTGCCAACAAAGTCTGAGCCTGTTTACTTTGTTTTGTTGTTGACACGCGTGCAATTCCACAGTTTCGATGCTGTCCTAAGTCACGATAATGAGGGACCTCAACCCTAGAGGGTCGAAGGCGTTCTGTATAAAAATTATCCGCTGAATGAATACAATCGAGCAAGCTCCCTCCTCGAGCTCTAGTAATACTAATGAGCTGCAAGAATCCTAAGCAAACTAGCCCTAAAGATCCCGCCATAAAAACCCTCGCTGACTGATACACTCATAAATTATGAGGGCAATCCCGTTGAGCTATAAGTTAACAAATCGTTTATGGAGTTTTTCTCGTGTTCTATCATGATTGTGTTTGCGTTGCAGCGACGAGGTCTGAAGAAATTAGCGACGAGTGAGCGACTTGCAGATCAGGTGCGTGCTAGATTTCATCGTCACTGAAACTCGTCCCCGTAGGAATAGCATTGCTTATCATGACAAACTAACAAGAATCTTCGCTCTGATCTCTTCGGATGCCAAGAGCGTTTTCCGGCGAGCAGCCGCAAATTTATTGCAATAAATTCTTCCGATCTGATTTAACTTTGGTGAAATTAGGGCTTAGGTATAATTACAATATTAGGCCGATCCGTTCCTGGGGCAGCATTGGTACGTTAACAAGACAAATGGGATCAATTAAGTTGATCGTTCGTCTTAGTTTGCCAAGGAACTTTGAGCTGCTTAACTGAAGCTCAACAAATTATTGCCTTCAAATAAATCACTCTAGATTGAAAGATTGGCTGCAGGAATTAACGTTTCATCCGAATGCCTCAATTTTCATACTGAAGAGCTGGGCGCTAACGAGACAATATTGTGCGTGGTAATATATTCTTACCAGGAATTTATTTAATAAACTTGATTGCATATTTAATTTACAGAAAATTTGACGTCTTTATTGCTTATTCCAGTTAACAATATTTTTCATATCTAACAGAATCCGGCAGAGAGAGGACCATCACGACGACAATATAGGCCTAAGCCTACACCCGTCCACCGTTTTTTGTTTCACAAACAATAGACGAAAGCTAAGTAAACAAAAAGCCCAGGCCATTCACTTTCCGTGAACGGCCTATCTAGGCCTGTGCCTATCAACATTGTTGAATATAAACGAGGCCTCTAAATAACCTTAGCAGTACAAATCATCTCTGATTTGTTAGAGAACATAACAGCTCTGTGACGATATGCAACGTCGCGATGTTTGCCCAAAGCATTCCGTCTCTCAGCTCTTATATATTGACGGCTTGCTAAGCAGTCGCGCTATTCCAGTGCTTCTCCGCAACACAGTGGCTGTGCATCGTAATTATGCTGTCTATTTATGTGTTTTTTAATCTATTTTAGACATTCAGTTTTTATGGCAGACACTGACATAAAAACATTTACATTTATTTGACATTTATGTCAGACACTGGTTCAGTTTTTATGATTGACACTGATGGTATATAACACCGGAGTAACATAGAACTTTTTCGATTAAATGGAAAAATAAGTGCATTTGAATTTCCTGTTACATTTTGAGTCCGGGCCAAATGGAATACACTGTAATATTAATATTGCTTCATATTGTTTATACGATATTAAATAACCACGGCCTAATCCATTTACTCTTGTGGAGCAGAGAAATTTGCTCGGCCTTCAATGTTGTAAGGCGATTTTACGTCATTCAAGGAAAATTGAACATTGCTTGTCCCACAATGAAAAAGAATAATTTTCGTTATCCTATAACTTTGGTCAGGCAGGATGTTTAGTAAAGTCAATTACGAAATCAAGGGAAGGTAACTGTGCAGCCTGTGGGAGGTTATATTTTTGAAGAATTTAAGCCCATGTCCTCGATATTGTGTTTCTAGCCCCTCTCGTTAATATATACATCCTGACGGGCTAATCTCAAGGCTTCTTAGCACTGCCTCTCATACAGAGACTTCTAATAATAACAACTCCTGAGTGTTTCCTTCTTGAGATCTCCATAGCCCTTTTTGATTCTAGAATATTAAATTATATAGAAAGGATCAATTTTCAGGCAAGGGATATCTATAACACAAGAACAACTCCTGAGTGTTTCCTTCTTGAGATCTCCATAGCCTTTTTTGATTCTAGAATATTAAATTAAAATAGAAAAGATAAATTTTCAGGCCAAGAATATCTATAACACAAGAACAATGCTCTGAATGTTTCCTTCTTGAGATCTCCATAGCCCTTTTGATTCTAGAATATTAAATTAAAATAGAAAGGATCAATTTTCAGGCCAGGGATATCTATAACACAAGAACAATGCTCTGAGTGCTATTTTGTGTTATCTTTTCAGATATCCTCCGTTTTAGTCTCTCAATTTTAACAATTTAATTTGAGTTAAACTGTTCAATGAAAATATTCCCTTGAAAGAGAATGTTGATAGAAATTATTTGTAGGGACATCATTATGAGTAGTAAGATACTTGATATCAGTGAATAATTGTCTAACTTTTTTTTCTAGCTTACATGCAGTGGATACGGAATATTTTTTTATATATCAATTTCTATTGTACTGTTTCATGATCGGTAAGCGTTAATTAATGTTTACTTTCTGTGCCAAACCCATTGTAAGAACTAGAATATCTTTTAAATGCAAATATCGTCTTATATTATTGATTGGCATTCCTTTCTTAGGTATTTTTAACCCATCCCTAACATATTAAATGATTTGTTGAAAGATAAGTAATTTTTTCATGTCCATGGCCGCTGAAAAAGCTATTTCAAGAACTACACATAATTTGTATCTATTGAAAATACCCGATAATATAGATGATGCGTAACATTTAAAAGTTCACAACATTCCAAATTATTAATTTTGAATTTGATCTTCGATGCGATCTAAACTTGTTTAAAATAATGAGGCAAAGTTCAGCTAAAATGAGGATTTGTGATAGCGGAAGACAAAATTTCAGAAATTCAATTCAATGATAATTTTCCTTGAACTTTCCCATTCTCGTTTTCTTTCGCTATTGTGGCAACCTAATCAAGGTTTCAGTTTTTTCAGTGTCCGGGTTTCATGCCAGTGTCGTTTTGATGTCATACGTGGAAGAGGATTATGACACATGGAGTCTCATTCCCAGATCATTCCGCTGCGCACCAATCAAGCGGTTGACGTGGCGCGCATCTTGATATGCTTTTGTCTTGACGCGGTCATCTTGATATGAGTTCGTCCGTGCTGTTTCATTTGCGATAAAATGAAACCACCCTTTTATTGGAGAAATCCTGCTCTTGGATGACAATTGTTAGCCATAAATGCTCCAACGAGAGTAATAGGGTCGCGCCGATTGTAAACTGAAAGATACCTCGGCCTGATTTTTTATTTGATTTGCAAAACATAAGCAATTTCGTTATTATTTTCTTCATTTTGAGTGCGGACATGAATTTGGTAACCATTCTAAAGTTTTCATTTAAGTTTGTTGTTTACAAAAACGAAGATTATAATCTATATTTATTTTCCATCAGAAATTATGTAGAATTTTCACCGTGCAAAACGTTTTCCACTTCATAGAAACTCAAACGGTAGGCTTGGATTAAGCAATTTGCAGGATAAACGACTTGGCCACAGTAAATCATATTAAGTATTAAGTTAACAATTCTCTCATGATCTTCGGAACCTCGCACACCTCGTAAACTCCTCGCGATATCCCATTATTAAGCGACTATTAAGAACTCACCTCTAATGGAGGCGATATTTCGATACAAAGCTAACTTCAAAGCTACGATAAAGCTCGTCAATATTAGTTGAAGTGCTTCATATTCTCTCTCATGCCCAACGTGGCCACAACAATCGCGCTTCTAGCGGTAAGTCTTGCATCTTTCCGTCACAAATCACGTATAGAATGTTCACGGGCCATAAAAACGTCATGTTTAAGAACAAGCGAGGCTTCTTGCTCGCGCCGGTGGCGCACAGAAATCATTGTCGATATGCGCTGCCGTCCCGTGCACTCGTTTTCGCATTTTTCTGCTACGTGTTCTTCACGATTGAGATAATGCGCATACATTATTTGCGCAAATGTTTTCTAATCGTTTAAACGAAAACTTTTTCAGATGAAATGTCAGCCAACACGAAAAGCACCTGACTTGAAAATAAATAATTGCAGTGCTTGGGCTTTCATTTATTGGCCGTTCGTATCAAAACCTGTAAAAATAAAAGTATTGATTTTTGAATCAAAGTATTGATAATTGGAAGAAAGAAGTGATTATTGAGAGGACTAATATTTCGTTTTCGGTCACTTTAAGAGCTGAATTTTCCATAATTTAAAGTCGAATGCATTACATTGACTCGTATTGACATAACTTTAATATTGCAAGCTCCGATACAAATTGAGTATTATAGGTTCACTAATATAACATTGAATATTGCGTACACTCATGTTCCTTGAATATTATGTGAGCTAATATAACTTAAAATATCACGTGTACTGATTGAACTTGAAAACTGAGTGACAAAAAGTTCGTTTTCTCAGCGCGGGTCGTTTTCTATCCCTGGGTTCGTCAATAAGTCACGTTCATATTATCCACAGAGGCCATGAATTTAGCAGGACTAATTTGTTCGTCACTTGAGAGCATCGAGAGAAGCTGGTGGCAGATGAAGTTAGTTTCCCACGACGCGCTCTGTAGTCCTCAAGTTTCTCATAGCAGCCGCAGCTGCTGCCCCAGAGATCGTCTTTTTTTCATGGGCTTAATTTTATTGTTTCATGGAGATATTTTTAAGCTCGTGATTAACAGCTTTGTTGCCTCTGACTTCGATTTGATTATTTTCTCAGTTTTCCTACTGATATAGTCAATGATGTTAATATTTCTGATTTTGATAATACATTCGGTACATTCGGTAGGTAAATTATATATCGAACAATAGAAATATTAGCACACAATCAATATTGCTTCTTGCACCGTCAACTTAAAACCAATAAAAACTAATTTTCCGCGTGTCATTTAAATCAAGAAATGCCAATTTTTTACATAGTTCTTCTTCAACTATGAATGGAATTAATTGTTAGCATTTTTAGGTGTCGTTTGAAACGCTTTATGGAAATGTCATTTACGCTTTGAATGCCGAAATGCGTTTGGGAAATGCTCACGCGAAATGCGTAACTTAAACCAATATTTGCCGTGAAAACCCATAAAAAACAGCCTGCCTCAGATATATCACTAGAAGCCGTTTTTTGTTCCCACGTACAGTTGTGTTTGCCTTGCTCTACGCCTCCTACAGATTCCTCCAGATGACTTTCAATGACGCGTGTACGAAATACTGTGAGAGTTACCCCTGCACCGGCCCCCTGCTTGGCCTCTAGTTACTGAAACCATTCATGTTTTATTTCTTCGTGTGACATTTTGTTGATGTTTTAGCATTAGTGATGCAATTCGTCATAA